GTTAAAGGGACTGTGCATCGTCGATGCCGCCCTCGTCTTAGTGTGATTGGTTGTCTGTTTGTTTGTTGATTTGAGGGAGGGTGCGTTTTGCGCAGTCGGATAATGGTGTCTATCCATCTGTCAAGGGAACTGTGCATCGTCGTCGTTGTCAGTATCTGTGGTGCTGTTGGTAGTGTTGCAAGTAGAAGAAGGGAAGAGGACTTCCTCGCCCGTGATGGGCTGTGGGTTAATTACTTTAATTAATTAGATCGCGCCTTTTCTTCGGAGCGGATAGCTCTCTGTTGCCGTGGGCAGAACAGAAATTAGTTGTTGTTGAGAGGCTAGTCTCCAGCGGAGGGAGAGCAAAAGAAGAAGAAGCGGGAGAGGAGTGGGGGAAGGGGGGGGAGGGGGATGGGAAGAGGGAGGCAGGGTTCGGGACGAAGAAGAGGGTGGTGATGTCGATTTTTTTTTGGTGTCTTGTTAAAGAGATGGCGGGAGGATTGTCGATCTGTCGGTCACGACGATGGAGAATCTCCTGTCTGGATACGGTGTGTGGTTCCTTCTCCTCTCATTCCCTTAGACAATTTCCCGCGCACTTTTCCCGCGCGCTTTTCCCGCGCACTTTTCCCGCGCGCTCTTTTCGTTTCGCTTAATCTCGGAAATGAAATTTGCATATGAAAGCCTCCTTCCTCTTCGGGGTTGTCAGATGGACGGACAGGTCTGTGAACGGTAGGATTGGTAGCGAGGAGTGAAGAGGAGGATGTATGATTGCGATTGCGGAAGTAATCGGAGGAGGTGGTGTTTGTAGAGACTGGATTGGAGTGAATCTGTCCCCTGATTGAATGGCGTCGTTGCTGTCGAAAGTGGCTTTGTGTGAGTGCTTACTGCGACCATCCACCAGGGGAAGCGCCCATCTCATCTTCCCCAAGTTGCTGAAGCTCTTGAGCTCTCGTGCAGCTCACTTTGATCAGCACGGGCAAATATGGGAGAGGCTATGTTTTCTTGAATCTGACGAATCCTGCCTATATATGATTTGCCTGCAAGGTGATCATGGCGGGAACACTCTCCGTTGAGCTTTTCTCAGACTGTGCCTCCGGATTACTCATCGATGTGAGAAAATCTGGAGCCTTTCGTGAACTCGCGGGCGGTTCGTGTTCCGTTTATCTGTGTTGGGTGTGTTGTCATGTTCTCTACTGAAGTCCACCGAAAAATCATGACTGTGCCAGACTGTTGCGTCGGACTTCCACCGACTCAGCTGGAGGTTGTCGTGCGTGTATAGGAAACTCCAAATGTCTAAGTGCTGCATCCTCCCTGTTCGTCTACTCTGTGTGTGTGTGTGTGTGTGTGCGCGCGTGTGTGTGCGTGTGTGTGCGTGTGTGTGTGTATGTGTGTGTGTGTGTGTGTATGTGTGTGTGTGCGTGTGTGTGTGTGTGCGCGTGCGTATGCGTGCGTGGGTGTGTGCGTGTGTGTGTGTCTGTGTGTGTGTCTGTGTGTGTCTGTGTGTGTCTCTGTGTGTGTGTGTGTGCGTGCGCGCCCCTGTCTGTGTGCAAAAGCAGCAAAAGCAGCAAAAGCAGCAAAAGCTGTGTGTGTGTGTGTGTATGGGCGCGCCTGTCTGTGTGCAAAAGCAGCAAAAGCAGCAGAGACAGCAAAAGCAGCAAAAGCAGCAAAAGCTGTGTGTGTGTGTGTGTGTGTGTGTGTGCGCGCGCCTGTGTGTGTGCAAAAGCAGCAAAAGCAGCGGATGCAGCAAAAGCTGTGTGTGTGTGTGTGCGCACGCGCCTGGGCGATAGGGAGGTAGTGTATTGGGAGAGAGAGGTGAATTGTTTGTGGTTGTATCGAGCGAATCCGCTTATGGAGGAGAGTGAGGTTCAGGGGAGGATAAAGAGGGAGAGGGAGGACGAGCGGGACGAGGAGGGAGAGGAGGGAGAGGAGAGGGAAAGGAACGGCAAGGGTTGTGTTAGGGTATCTCGTTCGGCAAGAGTATTTTACTGTATAATTTAGTAACTGGCGTTGAAGCAGGATATAATAATATAGCACCTGTGCGATAGCAGGCTGTACTAGGGATAGGGATAGGGATAGAGATAGGAAAGGAGAGACTACTATACTATATATAGCACAACTTGTCTGTACTACCGGTAGGGGGAATAGGGAAGAAGATGAAGCGATGAAGGCCCTTGGGGCTTTGGTCGTGAAATAATCTGTAAGGCGGGGTCTCGGCCTATCAACGCTTATTAGCGGCTAAGTGGGAAGATTCCTCCTCCTCTTGTCAAGTTGATGACGCGGCATTTCATGTTGTTAATATTATTATTATTATTTTTTTTTCTTTTCATGAAGTGAATTTTTCTGTTATAAGTAATTCAAGGGGACAAGGCCTAGAGCGTATTGTGATATAGTAATAAATCATATTGGGGAGGAATTTATATGCTGCTGATGCTACTGATTACAGAACGGAATCTGCATTTGTTACCAACTGAAAGAAGCGAAACGGAACGGAACGGAATGGAACGGAATGGAATTTATATGCTGCTGCTGCTGATTACGGAACGGAATCTGCATTTGTTACCAACTGAAAGACGCGAAACGGAACGGAACGGAACGGAATTCCGGAATCTGTATGTGTGGGCGGCCCTCCACTACTCTCGACATGCAGAAAAGACCAAAAATATGGCAATGTATCTTTCCGTGTTCTAGCGGTAGATTCATTCTCTGATTTTGGACGTCTCGCGAGTAGTGGAGCGAGGCCTTGTTTCTCAAGGAAAACGAAAACGGAATCTGCATGCTTAAACGGAAACAAACGGAACGGACTTGCAAGAGGGTTCTGTTCTCTTTGGCACAGAGTTTTGCCTCCGAGTCTGGGGGAAGAAAAAACCTACCCTGCTGCTTTGACACAGCGTGAGAAGCACACGTAGGTAGTAATTTTTCTGCTACTTTTTTCTTTTTCTTCTTACTGTTGATTTTTTTTTTTTTTTTCTAGGTTTATCATCACCATTTATGATGTTGTCGGTTTTTTTTTTTTTTAATATTACAAGTAGGTTTTGTTTTTCTAGTTTGTCGTGTTTTTGACTCTTTTCATGGATATAAACTCTCACCTTATCTAGGGCGCACTTTGTTCCGAGGGACGCCCCTCTGGCCAGAAAAGGCGGTTAGTATGCGGGCAAAGCCATCATCTACTGCTTGTAAGTGGGGGGGGGGGGGAAGGGGGGCGGGGGGGGAAAGGGGGGTGGGGGGAGGGGGGGGAAGGCAGGGGGGGGGGGGGGGGGGCAGAGGAGGATAAGTAGCATTTTACGTTGGTGACGATACAGTGTGGGTGGTGTGAGATATTCTTTGACTTTTCGCCGCATGGCAAAGGTATACAGCACCACGAGTCGGACGTTTTGTGCACCTTTCTTTTTTCTTTTTTTGGTGCATTTGTTGTGTCAGAATGGCAATTGTAAATCTGGTAATAATAATAAATAAATAAATCGGATAACTGTCTGTGATACATCGTTTTTCATTTTACTGCACGGTCGCGATCTCAGATCGCGCTCGGTCTTTAGATCTGAGGCAGCTGATGTGGACCGCGGGGTAGACGTATGCCATCTCCCGTGTTGTCTTCTTTTTCTATTTTACTCTCCCCCCTTGCACGGTTTGAGCATGTAAAACTGAGTAATGCAGTCTTTATTGAGCGTGTGCAGAAGCAATTGGCCACTGCTTGTCTTCTTGGTCTTTTTTTTCCCGCCTTTCTTCACCCTTCTTCCCCCCTTTTTCCTTCCTTTTTTCCCCTTTTCCCCCTTCCCCCAAGTTTGAGAATGCCTTCCCCCTTCTTGCGTCCTTTCTTACCCCTTCCTCCACCCTTTGTCCTCCCTTTTTTGCACCCTCCACTTTTTGCCCTGTGCATTCTGCAAATTTTTAAACTTTTTTGGGAGAAAATGTGTGCACTTGCTTTTCTTTTGTTCGATATCGCACTTTATGCTTCCTTTTTTTTCGTTTTTTTGGACAATTTTTTATGGGTTTATGCGTCCTTCAGCTGGGAGTAAGCAACTGGCATGGCAAACGGGGTCATCCTGCCATGCACTTGGTTCCTCTTGTACAATACCTTGTTGAACACCACCCTCTCAACTGAGTCAAATTCATCGGTGAATACCTCCACGATATCCATCTCTCTGCCCATCTCTCTGCCCATCTCTCTCTCTCTCCCCTCTCTGAAGTCTACGAAGCTGCCAGCAGGCCACCGCAGCTGCAGTCCGCCCGTGCTGCCACACACGCACACATGATGTGCGACACATGCACACACGCAGTTCCAGTTACACACACCCCAAATGGCGAGACACACACACACTCAACGTAGGCATTGGAACACACCTGCTCCCCATGTCACAACCGATATTTATGTTGCATTCGGTTGTCCCACGACTCACCTTGAGTGCACAGGCAAGTTTGCGGATGTGTGCTTACATCGTGTGTGTGTGTGTGTGTGTGTGTGTGTGTGTGTTTGTAAGAAAAGGAAACCAAAAGAAAAAAGAAAAAGGATACTTGGATGGCGTACTGCAACCTTTGCAGCTGATGCATTCTACCTTGTGTAGGGGTTCAGTCTGCGTCCGCAAGAAGGCCACCAGAGGCGTGCTGAGTCAAATCATAGTGAAGAGGAGATGGGCCACCAAGTCATGTCTAGAATGCCTAGAGCCTCCTACACGGGCCCTTAGGCCCGACATTGTATCTAAGGGGGGCTTATCTCGTTTTCAGGCAGGCAGGTACATGCTTGGCACGCATGGAGTCCACCAGGTACATATCTGTTTTCAGTGTTTGACTTGTTTTTGAGGCCTGTATATATTTTGTGTCAGGGGGTGTCTATCAGCATACTGTTTAGCTTGTTTTTTAGGCCTGTATTTATTTTGCATAAGGGGGTGTCTTATCCGCGTTCTGTTTAGAGGCCTGTTTTTTTTTGGCGTCAGCCTTCAGGGGGTGTCTTATAAGCACTTTGACCAGCCTGCTTTTGAAGCCTCTGAACAGAGCTTGGCCACACAGCCTCTTAACGGATACTTGGCTGATCAGACGGCCCAGATCTCATTCAGCGTCGGTGCCCGCGTCCGCTGTCTGGTCAGGTTGCTCCAGTAGAGAGTGATGTTCCTCGCATGAGGTAAGATAGAAATGGAGTGGGGATGCGCCAGGAGATATATATCAAGAGGAGTGGTGGGATGGGAGTCTCGAGAGTGAAAAAAAAAAAAAAAAAAAAGAGGCCGGGTGGGATGGTGACGGGCCCGGTATTTATTTTGCATCAGGGGGTGTCTTATCAGCATTCTGTTTGGAGGCCTGTATTTATTTTGCGTCAGGGGGTGTCTTATGAGCACTTTGACCAGCTTGCTTTTGAAGCCTGGCCAGAGCTTGTTGGCCACACAGCCTCTCAGCGGATACTTGGCTGATCAGACGGCCCAGATTATAGGAGATGGAGTCTGATGGACCCAGCAGTTAAAAAAGGTTCTGACTTCACTCGTGCGCAACCAGGCTGCGGGCTGGAGGAGTCCAGTGCTGGTGGTGGGAGAGGAGTAAGCTGGAGGGAGAGGTTGGCAACTTGGCGGAGGCCATGCCCACGAGGGAGAGAGAGACTTACCTGGGCGCCAAAGCTGGGACTTCATACGATCCATGGGACCAGCCTTCAGCAGCGACCTGCATCATGAATCATCACCTCCCCTGATCATTATTTGTGGCATCATCAGGAGAGTTCTTCTTCTCCTTCTCCTGCTGATTCTTCTCCTCCCCTCCATAGCCACTATTCTTCTTCTTCAGAGAGAGAGAGAGAGAGAGAGAGAGATTTCAGGCAGTGAATATTTTCGGGCCTTGAGCACCCAGGATCGGATTCAACATTCTGAGGACAGAGATTGGTTGGACATTTGATGTGGAGACTATTTTGGATGACTACGAGTTCTGCTCTCGTCTTCCTCCTCCATATCTCGTCCTCTTCTACTTCTTGCTGTGGGCATTGGTAAGTTGCCACGTCAGCAGGGTGAATCGTCAGCAGGCTACCTCATCCTGACACGTCAGACGGCTGCGTCAGCAGGACACGTGAGTGACACGTCAGCAGGCCACTGTGCCATGTCAACAGCAGTATAGTGCCACATCGGCAGTTCCCAGCCTGCAACTGGAGCCTGCAGTTTATGCCTGCAATCCTGCGTTCACAGACCGCAGCTATTGAACGGAAGCAAGGGGAGACTGAGGAGGCCTATGAGGCTCGGATTCTGTCACTGTCAGCAGAGCACTCTGGCCACCAGCGTGTGCACGGCAGAATGAATGAGCCGCTGGGGCTGGCCGCTCTTTTGTAGTGTTGTCCAGCCTTGGCCTGCCTCATCTTGCGTCCTCCAATGGAGTTTTTTTTTTTTTTTCCCAATGTTCCCAACGCTCCGTTCTATTGGTGAGGATCAGAACCTGCTGCAAACTGGGTCCAGTGTCCCATAAAAGTACAATAGTAGCAAAAAGATGCAGCTCACCAGAACCTTCTGTCCTTTCTCCTATGGTTAGGGCGGGAGGCATTGATTACTTCTCAAACGAGAAGGATTAGCTTCACGCCCAGTCTTTCTTTTTTTTTTTTTTTTTTTTTTTTTTTGGCCCAGTCTTTCTATCAGCGTGAGACTGCCATTTTTAGATAGGGCGAGAGGCATTGATTGCTTCTCAAACGGGAAGGATTAACTTCCTGCCCAGGCGTTCTAGCAGCTTGAGATCAGTATTTTTAGATAAAATATTTATTATTTATACCATACATTTATGTACATAGTTTTCAAGTTTTATACGTGGATATATGTATATAATATATACTAGCTAACTGCCCGCGGTGTGGGCAGTGCGGGCTACGCCCGCAGAAATACCAAATGCAAATACCAAATGCAGTGGGTGACCTCACACTGCATTTCGGATGGCTCGCCTCCAAGATGTTTGTCCTCTTTTTAAAAAAAAAAAAAAAAGATGTTTGTCCTCAGAAACAACGACAGCCTACCGGGGGGCACAAAACGACAGCCGCGTGAGAAATGAAAAAAGAAGGGAGGGAAAAAAAAGAAAACAAAGAAAAAACGGGACACAAAACACAGTACAGAGTGGAAAGCTCTCAGCAATGGCCACACGTGAACCTGAGTAGTGAGTCCCTCCTCACGCGGCGTGTCTGGAGTGTATTTTTTGGCTGTGACAGACCTTTCTTTGTTTCGTGGATGTTTTGCTGGCTTGTGATGGG